CGCCCCGCCGCCATGGAGACGCTGTACCGCCTGCCCTTCGCCGTGCTCGAGTGCCCCAACATCAAGCTGAAGCGGCCGAGCTGGGTGCACATGCCCTCGGCCATGACGGTTTACGCGCTGGTGGTGGTGTCCTACTTCCTCATCACCGGAGGGGAGGCCGGGGCCGGTGGGGCGGGCGGTGTGAGCGGGAGACCCCGCTTAGGGAGCAGCTCGTTCTCTGCGGGGCGGGCTGCTGGCCCCTGCCGCGGGTAGCGGCGCTACTGCTGCTGCTGACCGCTTGTCCGGCTCCAAATGGGTCGTAAAAAACACGAACCTCGGCCAGCTGCGAGCGTCCCTGCGGTGTTAAAGCAGTTCGCGCTGTTTGCTGCCATGAGTCAACGGTGATGCTTGTTTTTCTCCCCACAGGGATTATCTATGACGTGATTGTGGAACCTCCCAGTGTGGGGTCGATGACAGATGAACACGGGCACCAGAGGCCAGTGGCCTTCTTGGCATACAGGTAGGAGCTGGGCTCTGCCCCCCGAGCAAGGTGCGGCAAATGCCTAAGCACAAGTGAATAAACCCATCTTACAGAGTTGTGCATCTACTTCTTTTTTGAGCTCTCTGTGCAAGGCAGGATCTGTTCTATATCAGTCCTTGGTTTGCAAATATTAAAAAAGAAAAAAAAAAAACAGTATTGAAATCAATGGAAATAGAAAAACTCAGTCTATCTAAACCTTTTAAAAATGAGAAGTCTGGTAAGAAAAACATTTGGAGTTGGCAGTCCTTTCTTCCAAACCCTTGCTATTAAAGTTGAGTTTTATAGTGGATGTGGACACATTTGGTCCTGTTTCACAGCAACATACATAATGCTTGTGAAACTTTTCAGTTCTGGCCTTTTAAACTCTAATGTAATTGGGACTCTTGTGTCTGAGGGTGGGGAACACAGTTACAAATGTGTAACAACAGTGTCGTCTTTGAGTCTTTGGCTTCTCTTACTGAAAATAAGCTAGAGACTGCTTAGTAACAAATTGGTTTGAAGAGGGTTAAATGTACATTTGTAACTGCGTTTTTTTTATGTGTGTGGAAACAAATAATGGCTTTGGGTAAATACCAAAAAAGCTCTTTGAATCTATGAAGTCTGTGACATGCCTCATGCACAGATTTTTGACTTGGACTTGATGTAGTATATGTCTCAGACTGGCTTGGATTGTTGCAATGTAGATGAATCAGCCTACTGCAGGGAGTTGATAGCACTTCAGTACAATTCAGTGGAAGTGAACATGAAAGAAGATGAAATTGTTTTCAAGATATGAGACAATGATGATAATCTTCATTTCTGTATTAGCATCCACAGTAGTTTCATCCATGCCAATGATATAGGGTTGCTAGTATTGCTCATTACAAGGATAGGAAAAAGGTTTGGTGACTGTGGGAAGCAGGAGACTCGTGATCCAGGTGCAATATTATTTCTGCATCTCGGCTTCTTCTCTGTCTGAGCTTTGTAAGGAGGAAATCCAGCAGTGTGGACTGACAGAGAGCTGGGGCACTTTCAGGCTGGGTCCCCACAATCTATGTGCAGGTTCAGCGAGCCGATAGCAAAACATGCTGCAGGCAAGAACCACTTTTGCTGTGTGCTGTAACCAGTAGATGTGCTTCATGTGCTGACATAGTGCTTTGAGTGGGATTTGTACCGAGATGCGGATTCGGGCACTGCTGCCTGAACATTGGGATGGAAATAAGACTTGGAAAGCTCAGTGACCCAGGGGTCATGGTTCCGTGCCTCAAGTCATCTGGAAACCAGGTGCTACTTTGGACTCGATATTTCCTAAAACTGATGAGCTTGTGTGGTAGCCATTAGTATACACTATTATGTATAAAACTGCTAGTATGCTTGACTGGTCACCTTGCAGACTGTCAGTCCTGGAGATAAATTACATATTAAAGCCTTATTGTAATTGCATAACATCAGTTTCCATACCTACTATTTGTTAGAAAGTCAGCCATCAAAGTTAATCATCCTGTGTATTTGTACAGTTAAAGCAGGTTGAGTAGATGGGGTTTGAAATGTAACTAGTTTCTTCAAAACTAGTATTTGTCTGACTCTTCTTTCCTTCCGCCCTTTTTTTTTTTCTTTAGAGTAAATGGGCAATATATTATGGAAGGGCTCGCATCCAGCTTCCTCTTCACAATGGGCGGCCTAGGATTTATAATTCTGGATCGATCCAATGCACCAAATATCCCCAAGCTGAATAGGTTTCTTTTGCTCTTTATTGGATTTGTCAGCGTGCTTTTGAGCTTCTTCATGGCCAGAGTTTTCATGAGGATGAAACTACCGTAAGTGATTTAATACTCTTTCAGCTTTTCTTCTCTTTTGTGGCTCGTGTGTGCCTATGTTAAATTTAAGAGTAACAGAAAATACAGTGAGGTATGCTAAAGATCTGCAGCTTGACTATAAGTTGCTTTTTTCAACACTTTTTTGGAACAAGCTACCTTGAATGAGGTGGGATGCTTTTCGGGCCAGCTACTGTAAGATTGTGCTGTGGTTAAAAAGAGGTGACAGTTCCTGGTATGTCAGAAGATAGGATTAGTGAGTCTGACTTACAGTGTATTTTAAGGTAGGCTGAGTATGTACTGGTCAGGTAAAAGTAATTACAAGGTAGGGCTTTGAGGAAAAAGCAAGTGTCAAAGAACTTGAAGAAAGGCAAATGAGTACTTTACAGTGACAGTGTACACGAGAGATCATAACTAGAAGAACTGATGGCAGCAGTAATGAGTGTTCAGAAACATTCAAAGCAGTCCTAAAGTAAAGATGATGTCTCAGGGTTTTTTTTGTTGCTGCAAAACTGAATGTAACATTGAAGCATACAATACATGTGACGTTTTAATACATCTATATTCACAGATCAAAAAGTAGGAAAGATCTGGAACTTTCAGGCTATGTAAAATCCAAATGCAGGATTTTCAATTTTTTTCCCCCTCTTTATTTCTCAGTCTATCTATTTCATCTAGAATAGCTGAAACCTGATGTTTGGAGGTACTGGTAGTTCATTTCTGGAGTAGCTCTGTGAGGTGTTGACTTAACAATGACAGTCATTCCTCCTTTCTCAAATATTTTTTTAACTTCTGCAGTGTAGTTAAAAAATTTTGTTTCATAACACAGAAGTGGTGGGTTCCCTGGCAGCAGGTGGCTGGATAGGGACCTGCTCTATATTTTCTCTCTTCATCGATGCTATGTATTTTCTTGTTTCATTGAATATGCATGTGTCTTAACAGTTCTCTTTCTTAAACTCATTAAAGAAACAGAGCTTCAGAGAAGTGGGAGAGAAAGAGACCAGAGTTGTGTTGAGTGCCAGAAAATGTCAGGTTATACAGAATATCTTAACACTGGTAGTTTGTGTAAAGGGTACAAATAAAGAACCTTTCACAAGGTGTAACCTGGGCTTCAGAAATTCCAGACAATTATTGAAGCTGGATTGAGAACAGGCTAATCCATTTTCAGTGTTGATTGAAGAAAATCAACTGAGGAAGGAGTGTGTAGTTAAGCCGCCCAGTTTGTACCTTGGACAAGATTTATTGTTTTAAATAGCCTTGATCCAGCAGAGTTTTTGGCAATCTGAAGTTTTTGTTTTAAGACCATATGTCTCTTGATTTTTGAGGAGTGCTGCCTGTGTTTTGCTAACTTTTTTCCTAACTTAAATTTTTTCTGTAGGGGCTACTTGATGGGTTAGTACCTCTTGTGATGTGTGAAAGCCCGAGCTGAATTTACTCCTCTTCATGAATTGTTTAAGAAGAAGCAGCAAGAAACAAATTCCATAGTCACCATCAACAGAAGAGAGACCTGGCCATGAGAAACAACTGGGGGATGAGTGCTTTCTCTGCAAACAAACTCACACTACCAATGGCTGATTTGTAGGTTTGAAGCAACATTTTATCATTTCTATTTTAGAGCTTTTGAAAAGAGCAAGTTACTTAGCTGGGTTTTTCTTTTATATCCTAATTCAGTATGAAATAGAGAACGTATCTTTAGCTCTACCTGAAATGAGTATTAGCCATTGCCTTGACAGTTCTTTGTTGCAGGTCTGTCTCCTCTTCCCTGTGTGGGACGATTATATGTGTCAATCGGAGAACCTGAAAGGTTTCTTTCCAAGTTATAATTAGAAAATTAGTAACTATGGATGCTTTACAGTCAAAATACAATGTGTCTGAAATTATTTCAAAGGCACCATTTGCCTTGATATTTAATGGCTCTATGTGAGCAAATCCAGACACGCACTAGGAAAGGCAAACTGTATGTATGTGCATTTCTTTTTGAAAAAGTGTACGAAAGGAGCCAAATAAAACTTATTTTCTACAAAATTATTTGAATTCTATGCAGTTTCTGATGCTTTTTCTTGTGTGCATGGCCTGTTCTATATCCAGGCTTGAGATGCCATACCATACCATGACCACATAATTTCAGCTTTATTTTTCACTATCAGATAATGTTTTGTGTTTTTTTTTTTTAAACATCAGGGACAAGAAACCTCATATTTTCCATGAACTTGTACTGTATCCAAATGACATACTGTTATCAGTAGCCAGAAAAATGTACTTCTGAAGCTGCTGCTTTTTTGTGTGGGAGGCAAGGCTCCAACTTATTTTGTCTTGATTTTAAAAGATTGAATGTTACTATCACGTTTCATTGATGTATTGCATTCTGGGGGAAGGAAAGATCCCTGTAAATCTCCATAAATGTCTTTTTTGCAAGCCATATGTGTTTGAAGCACTCTTTTCATCTGTATAATAATTGTCAGTGAGAAATGTTGTTTATTTCCGTAATTGTGAAGTACGTATTACTGTTCACGTACTTAATCAAATTTCTGAGCTAGCTGCTAATCATCTACCCTTGGGATATGTCACTTCCAATCCCTCATTCTTATGTACAATGTGACTTCTGCATTTGCTCATCTTACATGTTTGTCATTAAGATTTAAGGTAGCTTAAGCTGTTTTATGAGGCTCATAATTGCAAGATTTCCAGTCTTTTCAAAGTGGTTATCTTTTGGCCACTCTGGTTTTGGTGACACGTACGCTTACCTTCAAGGGGGAGTATTGATATTATGTAAGTAACTGGATCCTGAAGTCAGCTTTTTAATACATCTGAGAGGGGAGTCAAACCAGAAAGTCACTTCACTGAGTATAACTGAGATTCCTCTGGCTCAGTACTTGTCCCACTGCAGTTCAGCTTCAGCCTCCAAGTTTGCAGCCGATTCTGAATGAGCATGCTCTTAAACAGCAGTTTTAACGGCAGAGTTGAAACAAATAAAGCGGACTTATAATTGCAAGATAGAAGATAGTTTCGGGAGACAATGACTCTGGCTGCAACAAACAAGGTTAAATGATCCCTTATGTTTCTTTGGTCATGGGCTACAGACTAGATCTGGTATGACCCTATGCCAAAGCATGAGGCACAGAGAGAACCAGGAAGATGGATGCAGAGCAGAAGACAGACCACCCAGAAATCTGGAGTGTGCTAGGTAGGAAGATGTCAGACTGCACAACTGGAGATTGGTTCATTTTGGATGTGGGTTGAAGGCTTCTTGGTCACCCAAGGAAAAATTTCTACTGAGCACTGTCAAATAAGCTGCAAAAAAAAGGTATTGCTGTGTATTATAGGAATCCCATTTTCAGTTAAAAAAGGCTGTATTTTCTATAAATGTCTGCTGTTCTTTCTAGGTAACAGCAGGTGGCCTCTACTGTAGGGGTTTAGGATAATAATAGGAATATTTCCGTAACTGAAAAAAAACTTACTGTAACTAGTGACAATATCCATCTATGTTTGGTTCTCCTATCTTCTAGGGCTAACTGAACTAGATTGTGGGGTGAGAAATTAAAACCAAAATTGAAACACTGTGGTAAAGGTAAAGCAGAGCTTATAGGAGCACATCTTTCCATGATTAAAAACAGGTTTGACCTACTTCCCTATGCAACAAAAATAGTCAGGCTGAAGTGTAGAGGTCTTGATTTTCTGGCTCTCTTGATGGAGAAAATACTGAATCCATGGCTCCTCTGTAGGCTTCAGTATAATCTCTGAGTGATGATGCCTAGTCAATATGGTCAGGAAGAGATATGTAACCTGTGTAGCTTTTGCATATATATAGCATTTTTATATATATATTTGCATACATATAGCATTTAGTATATATATATTAGTTCATATATGAACCCTTAACAATCCAAGTGATCTTATGCTTAACTGAGTTAAGCTGAAAAATACCTCTAGATAAAAAAGACCAGACAGTCTGCTTTCCTTTTTTTCCCCCAATACTTTTTCCAGACCTCTGCAAATTGTGGAAGAGTAACATAGAATGATAAAATCATTTAGGTTGGAAAAGACCTTTAAGATCATCAGCTCCAACTGTAAACATAACACTGTCAAGTCCACCACTAAACCATGTCCCTAAGTGCCACATCTACACATCTTTTGAACACCTCCAGGGATGGGGACTCAACCACTTCCCTGGGCAACCGGGTCCAGTGCTTGACTACTCTTGCCATGAAGAAATTTTTCCTAATATCCAATCTACCCCC